AGAGGCTCAGAGAGCCCCCCGCGACCTCCTAGGGCACTTAAGCGCAAATGGCCATCCGGATAATCGTATCCGGATCCGTTTTTTTCAGCACGCCTTCCTCAAAGCCTTCAGCTTCGATTGTCATGCGGCTGGTTCATCATCCCTATCATACCACACAGCTTGTCTAGTCGAACATTATCGAGTGGCTTGGTGAACGCATCGGCTGGGTTGTTTTCTCCCCGTGACCAGGTGCAGCGTGGTCTGATCAAGCTCGTGAAGATAAACACAAAGTGCCAACGCAGCTCGATGTGACGCGTGCGCCGTGAATAAGTCGGGCTGGTAACCATCACGTGTGCCGCACTATTGTCGATACCAATGACTGGTCGCACGTGCATTGACGGGAATATCTCAGACAGGATATTGAACTGCGCTTTCGCTTCCATAGCAGCTTCACATGCAGCCACATACTTAGCCTCAGCCGTGGATTGAGCCACAATCGACAAACGCTTGGATATCCATGTCGCCGCTCCACTCGCCAGCATAAAGACGAACCCGCTCGTGCTCTTCCTGGTCTCGGGGTCACTTCCCCAAGTACTATCACAGAATCCGCTCAGGGTCAGCTCCGTACGGGCCCCAGATCCCTTCTTGTACATAATACCGTGCGCCTGAGGGCCCACAAGGTATCGTAGGACGTGCTTGAGCGTTGCCACATGCTTCACACTCGGGTTCACAACGAATCTACACAACTGGCTGAGTGCAAATGCCAGATCCGGCCTGGTTCCGGTCGTGAGATATATAAGCCTGCCCAGTGCTCCCCGGTAGTCACAACTGGAGTCGAAGCTGTCGTCCTCCGTAGGTGGTGCGAGTCTCGTGGTGGATTCCATCGGGTTCCCACACTTGTTCGCTCCGCCAAAGCCGAGCTTGGCCAACACGTCCTTTGCATCTTTCTCCTGGCTGATGAACACGCCCTCCTCGGTTTGGGTGACTTCGATACCCAGCATCTAGGTCAATCTTTCATGGTCCTTCAGGCCATACGCCTTATCGAGCTCAGCAAACAACCCGATCTTGCACTCCTCATCATTCGTGGCACAAACCACGTCGTCCACGTAGATCAATAGCAGCACAATTTTCTCTCCGTCGATCAAGTAGTAGAGACAGGGCTCCGTAGCACACCGTTCAAATCCGCAGTTCAAAAACCACCCATTGATCTCCGGGTTGTTTCCATTCACGGCCGGATTGACGCAAACCATACAGCGCCTTCCGCACCACGTAGACATACGACGGGTCCGCACACGGATACCCCTCGGTCCCATCGACATACTGAGCGATCTCGAGCGTTGCATTTAGATACGCAGTGTTGATGTCCCCA